AATAGAATGGGAAGAAGTGGGATATGGAAAAAAAAATTGTGGCAGCTGAATAAAAATGAAATTTACATTTGCGTGTCCTTGCAAAATTCAAAAGTATTACTTTAATCGCTCAATATTCAATCAATAAAATAAAATTTCCCTCATTTTCTTTACATTTGGTTCATGTTTATGCTTTTGACAGTAACGATTGACTTGTATCATGACTAAAAAAAAGAGGGTAAAGTGTGACGAGACGAGTGACTGTAAAAATATTATAAGAAAGTGAAAAACATCATTAAGTAGGAATTATTAAAATGAACAATAACTTGAGGAAATTTATTGAAATCACGAATTATCAATGTGAGGGTTTTGCTTCACGCAAAGCAATTGTCGTTAAGAGTTTCTTCTTCTTGGCTTCTTTTGAGCCATTTTGAAGAGTGAAGAGAAAAATAAAAGAGACAGTTGTTGAAATTTATTGTTTTTCCTCCAATATTGAGTCTTGTTTACTGTGCTATTCAGTAAGACTTAAGAATTTTTACTTGACTTTGTGATTTGTTGTGCTTAATATCAGTTTAAAATGAGTTAAAATTTATTTTTTTTACAAAATTATGAGCAGATTTGGTTAACGGTTTTTGGAAATTCAAATTTTATGTGTCAAAAATTTGAAATTCCCAACCAAATTTTAAAAATCTAAAATACGTTACAAGTTAAATGTAAAAGATTCATGCAAATAAATAAGACTTATGGTTTTATCTCATTTGAGGCAAACAAAATAAAGTTTAAGAATGTCATACAATCCGAATTTTCATCTCTGAAAAGCATTTCATCAAGAAGAGTGAATAAAAATTTCAATCTCTTACAGAAACAACAAGAAGAACCCAAAATTTATTTTCTGTTGAAGAAAATGAGACATTTCGTACCGCGCGATCACTCGCCGTTAGTCGTATGTCGTTAAAAACATCTCATTCTCACAAGAAAAAAAAAAACTCGTGTCGAGATTTATTATTAAACATTTAGGATTTTTTTTTATTTAGATCATTTTCTTAAATTTTTCTTGATAACATGCCAATTTTCGCTTGCTTCCTTTAATTTTCTCTATGCTTCTCTTGCAAGTGACTTAAGGCGGTATTAATACAAATAGAGATAGAAAATGAAAATTGTGAGCAATATGTGGGACTAATATCTCTTGCTGAGACATTACTTTACATTTACAAAGAAAATGAGTTAGAAAAGTGTCTGTCTTATGTTCTACAGACATGTCACATAGACGGAATCTCTGTTAAAAAAACCTCGCTAAGATATTTTGTACATGTTTCATTTTTTAATTTGCAGTCAGAGATGTCGCTTGACAATAATAATAATAATTTCTAGTGTTGTAAATCAACATGAAGTCGAATGGCAGGCGGAGGATTAATGAGGTCAGTATGGGGAAGTAGAAGAAATATGAAAACAAATTATGACCAATGTTTTCCTTTAATTCCTCATCCATTTAAGCAATTTCTGGTTTTTCTAATTTTTAAATGACTTCCCGTTAATCGCAAAATATCAACGCATGTCAATATTAAAAATATGGGATATAAAAATAAATTTCCCGACAATTAGTAATGTGGCGTTTAGCGAAAAATTGTAATGATGCATTCATGATGATCATCGAGTAAGGAATTTGTTTCTCTTTCCTTCTAAAATTAAACAACATTTGCTGTCGCGATTTAAGTTCTCAAAAAGACATTTTTCAATTTCTGGCTCAGAAAAAATTCGACCCGAGCTGCACATTGTTGTGAGAGGCTTTTTTTTTTGTTGTTTTTGATGACAATCTGGTTTAATTTATGGTTCGTCATCTTAATTAAGTCAATTTTAAAGGATTTACTTCTAGAAACTAATAAAAACTTCTTAACAATGTGTTACTCGGGTTTGATTGCACTCCAAAGTACCTAAACATGTCAAAAGGAATCCATCAAGGCAACTAAACTACAACTCAATACGCTCCCCGGGTTTAAAGCAAATACACAACCTCTAACTGCCTCCAACTGTTGTGTCATCATGTTCTCTCTTTTGTCATCATGTGAATAATATTTCTCTATGTCTCTCACTTGTAGCTCTATAAGCACACTTTTAATAAAGTTAAACAGACATTTTTTTGAGATTTACAATTATTGTAATTATAAATGTTTGATAAATTAAGAAGACTTTTGAAATTCTTCTTTACATTTTCTTCTTCTTTGTTGAGCTATGAACAAGGCTAGAACTAGCTATTAATAAATACTGCTAGAGACTTTTTCGTAACATGCTTTTATGTTTGTCATCATAAAATGAAACATGACTGAAAAATTTTATTGACTGTTCGCTTATAGAAGATTTTGATGTCCAAATCAACTAAGACTAATTGCTGTGCTAGAAAAAATCGTCCTTTAAGTTGATGTTATTTTTCCTACATGATCATCAATTTATCAGGCAAAATGTCATATTTTTTTGAAGAGATTAAAACATTTGCAGGCGAATAAAAATTGAGTTAATTAATTTACATTTGATGTGCGTCATGCTGCTGACGTCTTTGAGGTTAGCTGTTAATTTTTGTGAATTTATGGAACTGCTTTTGAACGTCATTATAAAAATTTTGGCTTTAATATCAGCAAGTAATGATATGATTTTGAGGCTCTATTGGGAATTGATCCTGTAGTCTTAAGCCAAGAATTATAGTTTGTAGCATAGCGACTACAAAGTCTTTCTATTCGAACTAGAAGATTTGCTTACTTATAGGTCGATAACCCAGATCCCACGTTAATCCAACACCACATATTTCTATCCCAAAATAGTCCTAGACATTATAAACTAGCAAACAATACAAACTCACAATCAAATCTCAAACCAACCTCTGCAATTTTACCAATTCCTATAAATTTATTCGAATCCCATAAAAAAATCTAAGTCAGAAATCACATTACTTTCAACTCCTTCTTTCACGAGCTATATTTACATTAAATTTCAATGTGATACCACTTCCGTCAGTCGATGAACGAGAAAAGAAGGAAAGAATGAGTAAGAATCAAGAGAGGATTTGAAATGTTCTTTTAAACCTTTTTTCCCCCCGATGTGTCTGTGTAATATAATATTTTTTTTCTACTTTTTTGTTTTTGTCACATTATTATAAGGTTCCCCATCATCATCAGTATACTGCTTGTATATAAGCATGTAAGTGAAGTTAAATAAAATTAAATACATGTATAGTTGGATTTCCTGTCTCGAGGTTTTTTTTATGAAGAAACTAGCGATGTGTGGAATGAGGAATGGATGTGAGGGACACATTTGATTTAATTTGATTTTTTAAAAGACATCCTTTAAAGAGATTTTAAAGTTTGGGGGGTCGAATAGCAAACATGCCAACTGACTCGTCTTTATTCAGACTTATTGACCATTCATGTCATGTGTGACGATTCAATTTCAAAACTAGTGCAAATATAGTAGAAATTATATCAATAAACACAGCAGCGATTCCATGTTTTTCCACCCGACCGCATTAAATGTGTGTTCAATAAAATTAAATTTTTTTTATTGTTTAGAATTTCCACACATCATTTTCCTTTTGACTATTTTACTTTTGTGGCATTTTGCGTATAATTTGCAGCCAATAAAAAAAATAAATTGAATCATTACAAAGCAAATTCTTGTTTTTCTTTTGAGTTTTTCCTATCGAATCTGTGTGCAAAAAACGAAGGAAAATAAGTAATAAGAAAAGTTTCAAGTCTCGTATTGAGTTTGAGAAAAAAAAGTAAATCCTAAATATTTTCACACATTTTTCTTCTCTCACTCAATTCATGTGTGTATATTTTCATAGTCATCGTCTACAGTAACTGAAAGCGTAAATGAAAACACACATTTGAGAATTAATTTTACTCCCTCAAAAGACTTATTTTTTCTACCGACAAGAGTGCGGCATGTTTGGAAAGGAGTTAATATGAGACTGGAATGTTTTTTCTGGTGCTTTACATACTTTTGTGAGATTTTCAGGGTTGGTGAGACGCACTGAACCAGTGGCAAACCAAACTGAACGCTACCTACAATCAACAGTCACTTAATCAACTTAGATCTAGATCCTAACTTGAAAGTTCAGTCTGAGCCTGAAGTTTAAGCCTGAGGTTCAGCTAAAGGTTCAGCCTGAAGTATAGCTTGAAGTTCAGCTTAAGCTTCAGCCTGAGGTTCAGCTTGTAGTACATCCTAAGGTTCAACTTGAAATTCAGCTTTAGGTTCAGCCTGAAATAAAGCCTGAGGTTCAGCCTCGAGCTAAGGTTCAATGAATATCAACCTTAGCACTAAATTTATGTGAATCAGGGGCTCTTGGCAGTGCCAAAATGACAGTCAATTGCAAAATCCGATGAATTTAAATTCATATCAAATAAAAGTTGAGTATAGACTTCTTAAGCTAGTTGCTAGAGTTAACTCTACTTAGGCACCAACAAACTGAGAATTGAAAGCATGATTATAATCAATGCTTCACTGAGTCACTGCTCTAGCACTCTTAGGAACAACAAACTAGCTCTAAACATCAATTAATCACTAGAATACCATGTTTTACCCAACAAATAAACCCCACATCCAGCATCAACGAGCATGTATGTTTGTTTTCTCGTTTCTCAATCATAAACTACAAATATCGAGTTTGGAAGTAGCTAAATTTAATCGCATGAGCATCATTTATATGTTTTTATTCTGCATTCTTCTTATTTCTTTTCAAGAACTGAATTAATTGAATTAAAAGATTTACAACTCAAAGAATTAAATAAAATAAAAGAAAGAGATTTGAAGAAATGCGCATCTTCAAAAAATAATAATAATAAGACTTTTCTTTTGAGCTAATTAAAATGCTACAACGATATTAATTGTAACGTAAATCTACTTAATGATTTTAATGGAGAGCAACAGAAATCAAATAAAAAATTATGAAAAAGAAAGAAATGTTTTATGTATGAAGAGAGAAAAAAATAAAAAAAAAAAATAAGACTTAAAATTTTTTTGGTAACACTTACCCAAATTGGTTTTGTAAAACGGGATATGCCGTTCTTAATCCGGCTGCTGCGGCTGCGGCAAATGGAAATCCTTAAAAGAGATGAAAAGAAATTTATTAATTGTTCCGTGGTCATTGACATTCAGTTCTAAATTTGCTCAATGTTTACTTCAATCCCGAAAAAGGACTTAATGACAGTTTTATGACTTCACAAAGAGCGAGAGAAGAAACATTTCAAAATTTACATACATGAGTTAATATTATTGAATAAATACATAAATAAAACTTTGGATTCATTCGTATAGACACAAATTTTTTTTTGTAGCTTCGGCAAACACATGTTACGGAGCTGAAATTTTACTGCCTCATTTACTAGTTTATTTTTTTTTGTATAACATTCATTTCTTCCAAATTTATATTATAATGTATTCAGTTTGACTGGATAGGTGGATGATGTATGAAATTATAATCAGTATGAAATGCCTTTAAATGGAAGTTTGATTCAAGATTAGAATAATTCATGCAGCACCTAGCTTGGGACTTATCTGATATGCATGAGGTCATGATGATTTGGAGATTAAGTTGCTAATCAAGATCTTGAGCAGATCTTTGTAGAAAATAATGAATTTGAGCTACTTTAAGTTGATAGAAGGTTTTGGAGTAAGTTTGAACTAGGTTTGCATCAAAAAGAGAGCCAAACTCTGTGATCTAGACATCAGTTGCGTAGCAAGCGAGCCCTACTTTCGGGAGTCTTTAGCAATTAATTTCCTTCAACATTTAAAGACATTCTTCTTAATACATATATGCAAGATAAAGTAGCTCCAAACAATAAATCAACTGGCTCATCAAACTTTTTTTCTGATTCAAACATTATTGCATGATTACAATAAATCATTAATCCATCTTCACGAAACATTTTCAGGCAGAATTTTCTCTGCATACAGTAAATAAACATAGTCCACATGTACATAAAATGAATGAATCGTTGCTTTTAAATATTTTAATGAAATGTAAAAGGCAAGGTTTATGATTTCTGATATTTTTAAAGAAGTTATACATCTAATCTGGTTCATTGATATCCGAGTTTCTGAATAGAGTATCAATGCATTGCCTTGCTATCGACAAAATCTGACATTGATGGCACCTTAACGGTTGTCTGATGATAAAAGTTGAGATTTGTGCTCTTGGGGACATTAACAGAGTCAAATATGACAATTATTTGAGGATTGAATGTTAATTAATTAAGTATGTTGCAGTAAGTGTCATATTCATCAAGACAGCATGGTGTTTAAAACTATACTTAACTTAAAACTTCGTTTAATTTGCTTTAAAATTTAAATATCAATTTCTTAGCCGAAAAGCGCCTTAAACCTAGCTTACATCATTTCCAAAAAATTCTCAAAATTTATATTTTTACATTTTATTCTTTACATTCCTTTCTTTTTCATTAAGCAGAAACATAAAAACATTAAGAAACATTACGTTCAATTTTTTTCAATTCCAACAATCATCATCAACATCATCATTATCATCATTGGAATGATAAAGATGTTTATAGGGCCTTTCCATAATAGCCCAGTCTTATAAGAAAACAAAAAATTCATTAATTAATGGAAATTTAATTGTATTGGGCATAGCGAAGCCATAAAAAATTGAAATAATTGTAACAAATTAATGTCTTCATATCATTTACAGTCAGTCCAAAGAGAGAGAAAGAGAAATTAAAGAAGAACAAGAAAACTTAATGAATAAAAAAGTGAGAAAATTTGTAGCTTGTGCCCATATTGCTATATACAATACATTCAATTATTCACAATTGCCGGCACATTTCATTGTTGCACTTCTTTTATTCATATTTACTGGGTTGTGGTTCGACAATTTTTGTTCATGCAAATGTCATACACTGATCATAATGATCGTCATCGTCATATCATGTTCATTAGTCTTACAAATGTACGTGTGATAAAGGGTTGAAGCTCTACATCTATACATACGTATGAATGTAATCGAGACCGAAGACAATGTGGAAAGACCGTCGACCGGATATCAGAGTGTTTAAAGAGCGTTTCAACATGCGGAAATATTTGTAACTCTATTCATGACAGTTTCATGATAGTTTACGTGGATGTATGCGAGTGGTGACTTGCTTCAATATTTATGTGCTTCAGTCATTTTTTATAGCATATTTTCTAAGCTTTTTTGATCACTTTGGCTGACTGGCATGTAGGGACAGGTAAATTTAGACAATGAAAGCACATAGCGGCTGTTTTTTGCAGCTCGTTGCCATTGTGCTTAATTAATTGGGACAGCGCATTTTTGCATAACATGACTTTGACTCAATAAATTTTTAAATTATAAAAAACCGTTATTTATTTAAATCTTTAGTGTCAGGATTACTGGATCTTTGTCCTGTTTATTGATTTTTATGGCAAAAATACGCTAGAGTCGCCCAGATTCAAAGAACTATCGATCTTTTTACCAGCTTTTTTATTAAACAATGAACGTTAACAATTTTCATGACATTTGTAAAAAAGCAAAATGATATAAAGTAAAGATGATTACTATTCGTTTACGCATCGATGGATATAAGCAGACGACTCGACGTCATGAACAACAAAAAAAATTATTTTCTTCTTTTTCCTCGTCAGTAATGTTGGGAAAAAAAGTTGAAAAGAATAAGAAGGCTTGCGGTGGAGGAAGGAAGGAGTGGCACTGTTGATGCATTCATGTCGATAAGACAATATTAAGGGAAATGAAAGAACAAAAATGTAAATTTTCAAACGACACACAGAACAATGTTCAATTGATCATAAAAGTACCGATAAATTTGTAAATTACTTGATCATTTGTTATGTTTTACTTCATACATTGTAATTATCGAGTTCTCTTTCTTTACATAGGAGCTTCTTATGCATATGTGTGCGGTTTAAATTCATTTTCACATATAACATCTGCATAACAGTGTGTTGTCTCTGGAGGGCAATAAATCTCAGATGCACAAGAGTCGTAAAGTGCAAATAAATTTAATGGCAAATGGATGAGTAAATTTGGATGCTCTAAATTTAATGGAACAAAGGCTTGAAATCGATTTCATAAAAATAGAAATAATTTATCATTTTTGGACAGCATTAAGCACTCAATTTGATCAAACAGAAGTTTAATTTAGATTCAAGATAATGTTGATTATTTGACTTGTATGAAATTGATGAGCGTAGCAACAATTTTATGGTTTAATCATGCATCAATAGGAGACAATTTACGTTGAGTTTCTATAACAAATTCAGATCAATTTGACTTTAGAAAGTTTAAGTTTAGTGCCTTCTGAATTTAATGAATATATTCGATTATTTTAGCTGATTTTGATTTTAATTTGGGAATTGGTTCCGATATTCAAAAAGTAACATGCTTAAAGGAAATTCTAGGCTGAATTGGCTAGTTAGCATAGTGATTTGGTGCTTTGAGACTGTGCTGGAGATTCAGGAGCCATAAAACCCAAAAATTAAGCTGTAAGTCTCATTTACAGGCAACAGCCAACTACAATAATTGTCTTCAATGGCTGTGTTATCACTCAAAACTGGAGTTCTACCTCTCAATTCTTAATATTACGTTTCAACTTATCATCACTAAACATTTCTTCTCAGAAGCTCATAAATATTCCCAAAAATCAACTCCATATACTTCATAAACTTCATAAAAAATTCACAGCAGTTTATATCTTAAGCAGGAAATTAGAAAACCAACATCCAAAAAGACTTTTTGTGCTAATTTGATTTCATTACAAACTAAACTTTTAATTGTTCGTTCTTTTTCCAGTTTCTCTTCATCTCCAATAATGTTATGTTCAGTTTCTTTTTTCTGCATGCTTGCTACATTTTTTTGTGTACATTAAATGTGTGTTTATTTTTTGGGGTTTTTAGTCTACACATAGAACTGCATACACAGACACATGAAGCTATGTTAGAGTCATAAACGACGAATATGATCATCGTGTGACTTAAGAAACATATGTTACACGAATGTGCGCCACCATAAAAAGTAAAGGTTCCTTCATGGCAATAAAATAACATAAAATTATTGAATGATCAGTCTGGATTTTTTCTATGGATAAATAACAACAGCACAAGCACTATAATCTCTTTGTTATTTATATCTCCTTGCATGACTTGCAAGAAGTTAGTCATTGGCACGAGTTTCTTTTTCTTTGGAGGTTCTTATTATTCCATAATATGCGAGATTGTTGATTGAGCAAAGATAAAGATTATTTTTAATATGCAATTAATTTACCTGTTGCGAGATTTCCACGTGGCTTTGCACCTAAGATGGCTAAATTTACATTTGCTTTTCGCCCGTCAATAATTGGATTTGGATCTTTGCATGCACGCTCAGCGCTAAGTCTATCACCCATAATAACCTGTATAAATAGAAATAAAGTAAATCATTAACCTGATTTTGACACTTAATTAATTAATTCGCTAAGAACAAGACCAGAAAGGCAATTATCACCTTTCTGGATGTCCATAAGTCCATAAAAAAAATAATACTTACAAAGCCATAACCGCGACTTTTATTTGTCTGACGATCAGTTATGACAACAGCTTCCTCAATATCACCGTAAACTGAAAAATGCTCACGTAGACTTTTGTCAGTCGTATGATATGGTAATCCACCAACAAAAAGTTTCGTCCACGTTGTGTCTTTTTGTTGTTGTTGTGCGGCCGCAACTTGAGCCTGTGTTCCATTCATTGATGGTGTTGTTCCCGCAACAGGAGAATTGCATGCTACGAGTCCGGCAACTAATGCAGCTGCTTCTGCTTCTGGTCCAACTTGCATCAACATTTTCTATTTATTTATTTTTAATATTTACGTAATACTCAAAATGTGAATATATAAAAAACAATATATATCTGTAAAGAGAGTAAGAATAGGGGATGGAATTTAATCAGATGAATTTGCTTTACTTGTTCTTGTCATTTCCTACAATATTTGAATTGTAATCAAGTGACTTTTCATCTACATTTGAGTATTTTTCTACTGTATGTGCTTGATGTGCAAACACTAATGGATGCAAGAAGAAAAACGAGAAAAAAATAATATATCTGGTTCTTAAAAGGGGTTCCGTTTTATGTCTGAATCATGAAAATTCATCAATTCTGCATTTTTTGTACGATATTTGATGTGGTTACTAAAAATGCTGCTCGACCAGAATGGCGATTGAAAACTAGCTGACATTAATGATATTAAAGTGTGGGTCTGAATAACGAATTTCTTTTGGGTTACTCGAGGGACATGCTGCAATACTTGAATATTTCTTATGGGGTCGTTAATAAATGCCGTTTAATCAGATTTACAGTACCAATTTTGATGGGAATGTTCAATGACATCAAAAACAAATCGTGTCTTTAATCCCATTTTTTTTATTGACGTCATTGATAAATAACCCCAAAAGAGACTTGAGATCCAGCACAAAACACAAAAGTTGCACATTGAGTGCCAAAAATGAGATAAATTCAACATGTCAAAGTAAATCCGATAAGAAATTGAAAATGTTTCTTTATTTCCTTTCCCCGTCAATACAAAGCAGAGGAACTAAAGAACAGAAAGAAGTGCTCTTAGTTGTTCATTCAATATTCGTTGCTAAATCTATTATTTATGACAGGCTTTCAACTGCATTTGGAATAGTAAAAAACGACTCCCTTACAACATAAAAATATTTTTGTTGCCTTTCTTTTTTCTTCCTGTGCATGAAAAAAAGGATGGAAATTCAAGGGACCGTTCATCTATTATGTTACACAAAAAACTGATTTTTAGAATTTCCTCTCTTTAAAACGTTACGTAATAAGCGAACACCCCCAAGGAATTTCTTCCGCTAAAAAACGAGCGTCGCTGTTAAAAAAAAAAAAATTATTTTTAATATGTAATGCTTGAATTTTTTAGCAAAGCATAAGGAGGATCAAAAAATTTCATTATTAAATTTTAATTCAACTTTCATCCCTTCCCCTGCCAACCATCAACTTCCATTTCACCATTTCCATTTTTAATTTTATATTATATTCATTAAAGTTGTGTAAGTGAATTGTGTCTATTGTGTGATATTTAGGACATGCATTGCATCTGTCTCAATTACATGCGTTCGTACAGTGACTTTGAGCTTTAGGGGCTCTCGGATATTTTTTGATTTTATGCATCAGTTGAAGCATTGATTGTAGAAATCATGATTCGCTGAATGAACAGTTTTGAGCAACACACGATTAAAAATATATAAATTAATTTATTGCAGTGCAGAAAGAGAAGCATAAAGCAACAAAAGGGGATTTAAAAAAGAGAGGACAATGACATCCTCCTCTCAAAAAACATCAATAATTTACAGCATGTGAAGAATTCTTAAAGATCTTCATCACCTGGTATGAGATCCTTTTAAATTAAGCATGAATAGAAGTTGTAAGCAGTTGGCATGTGAGGGATCTCCAAATTTTTAAGTTCTTTAAATATATAAAAAAGGTAAACACAAAACGGAGATCCCAAAAAAATCAGGCATACCGTGCAATATTATTAGTGTTATTCTTGTTATTGTTAAAAGAGAGAAAATTCACAACAATGGAAGGACTAAAAAGACCTTTTTCTAGCAGTCATGAAAACTAGTTTTTTGCGCCATACTCAATGAACAATCGAGTATTGTCAAAAAATAAAAACTTGCATCAGTCAGAGAGTCAGTCAATTATAGTTTTTGGCTGAACAGCGGTACAATAGACATAAACTCATATGTGCATGCACTTACACATAGACATCATGCATTCATGCTCCTTTCATAAATGAACATGAACAGCTGCACAGCATTAAATTTGTTCTACATACACCCGAATGTAATGAAAACAAAGGAATAAAAGGGATATATGGATGACGTGGAGAATGAAAGAACGACAAAAAATTATTATTATATATAAATGGCTCCAAATGGATCATATGGAAGAGGAAAGAAACCGATGCATCAGCTGTTTCTCCGCGCCAACCTTTCCAGTATTACTATTAATTAAAATAATGAGGAAAAAAAATTATGAGTAATGGGAAAGAATTTAAATGATAAACATTTCCTGAATATTAAAATGAATTTTGACCCCTCCTCATACAAAGAGTGCTAGAGACGGCTGCTCCCCCACATCTACATACATATACATTATTTTAAAATGTAGGCGATTACGCAAATTACTGAATTTGTTGAACTACGTACAATTCATATACTATTATGTAGCTTTCATGAAAATTACTTTCTCATAAAACTTATGATTTTAAACAAGGAATGCTTAAATTTTTTTTGAGTGTGCATGAAATACTTGAATGTGCTGTCATGTGGATCGTTTTGTCTTAATTAATTTTTGGCATGATGTAAATTATTTAATGAGATCATTTTTGTGCATGAGCATGTCTCTGTTTTTTTTTGTGGTTTAAGGTTTTGAAGGTTGAGGTGATTTAGAGTCTGGACATGAGATTTTTTTGGGTTGGAGTGGGATATGTTGGCATGATATCAAATTTTGGGTTTTTTTGTATTTTTTAAGTCTTTTCTGGAAGCAGTCGTTTTTTATGGTTAAATCTTTTAAGTCATTATATTGCAAGTGACATTAGAGAAGAGTGGATGACTGTGGCACTAGAAATAGGTGCTCATTTGAGAGAAGCGGTACAAATCTGATTAATAAAGTTGTAAAACTCCATATAAATGCCTAGCTAAGCTTCTACAACATAAACAGCACATACAATCGACAGAATGCGCTTAAAACAACAATAATCAGACAACTTATCAACTTCACAACTTGCCTGATAATTTTTGAAAAGTAAGTGCATATTTTACTTGCTCATTCAACACTCAACTTTATTAAATACACTACAATATGTCGTATAGAAGGGGTTGAAGAAAGCTACGAACTCATGACAAAAGGAATAAAATAGACACAGGAGAAATTTAATTTTTTGTTGCTATTCTACAATTTTTTTTCCCTGCATGTATACAATTACCATCAATCTCCCCCTTGCTCAGTTACGATTCATTCAATTTTTGTGTTTATGTAAAATGTAAATAGCAATTGTTGGAAACAATTTACGGCGTGGAAATGATAATTAATGAATTCTTTTTAGTAGAGTGAAAAACTTTACTTGCTTCACGTAAGCAATAAAATGTGGAATGCACTTTTTTCCAGCCCCCATAAGAGTACATTATAGTTGTGTTGCACAACCGGAAAATAATTAATACCAGAAAGCAGCTACACCACCCGATGATTTTACTTTTATTTCTGTTCGAAAAACACCATTCGTAAGTGGCAGATGCAAAATAAATTTACATTTTTTATGACACTTTTAGCATTCTTTTGATATTTTGTTTCATTCCTTCCTTGATTCTACTAAAAGTGAAATTTATGGTTGAAATTGTGACACTTGAAAAAGATTGTGGACGCAGTTGGGGTGTGGGTGAGCAACAATTAAAGGAATTTTACCTTGCATTATATTTTTTTTGACAATTCAATGAGGTTTTTAATTAAAATGATAAAAAAAAATTTTCATGTGCCACCTCCACATCTCACGACATCACACAGAACATTTAATGATAATGACGCAATAATTTACGCTCATAAAAATCTTTTAAGGGAAATAAATGTAAGTACGCGTTTAGTATCTGTTTGTGACACATTTACTTTCCCCAAAAAATACACACGAGAAAAAAAAATTATTGTCAACCACCGCTGCATGAAACTTTAATCGTTTCCAGATCATTGGTAAAATATTTGTATATGTGTGTAAATTATTATTATTTATGAATCATTTGCAGCAGCTCAAAGAATAATTTTACTACTACACCATTCACAGAAATACGGCAGGCAACAGCAGTAAGCGATAAAGCACACGCATATCCTTCCCAAAAAAAAAAATACAGCATAACACACATCACCATCTATTTATTCACTGTTAAATCATAAAAATCGAGAGAAATGAGAGAAGAAAATAAGGAGGAATGGCAGGCAGGGTGGAACGAAATCGAATGGAAAAACTATCCCCTTCAGCATAACTCAGCATGTTTCGAAAGATTAGGCACAACGACATCGCACGGAAGAATTGTTCTATTAAAGTGCATTGGAGGGAACTTTCCAAAATACGTGAATTTATCTTCCTTTATTTAAAAAAAATATTTTCTCATTTAACTTTTTTTCATTCATTTTATTATTATTACTGTCATTTCTATATCAGAGAATACGAAGCCTTCTAGGCATCCATAGTATGAAAATATGAAGGGCACACAAAAATAATCAATATGATTGTAACCTTTTGAATTTACACAGAATACGAGTAAGAGTATCAAGATGATTTTAATGATGATACTTTTTTTTGGGAAGGTTTGGTATTTTTGCTCTTTGTGTGTGCTTCTCTTTGTCTTTACGGACGTGTACATGTAAGGATATATAGAGAGTAAAGAGAAGCTATCAGAATTTTTAGTCACATACCATACTGATCAAAGATATTGTCCATTATCCTATCATGTTTCAATCAATCAATATGAATATTTTAATATAGCTGGATTTTACTGGATGTTGTGAAAGGAAAAGTATTTGCAGGAGCTATTTACTTTTAATAAGATATTCTTTTACAAATTCGAAAGACATTTAATTAGGGTTTGATGTTTGAGCTTCGAAATTCTTAAAAAAGGAAAGAATTATTTACTTATGAGATTTATGACTTTTGTGATGGTTTCTTTGTATGCTCAAGAACTTAATAAGTTTCTTACGGATTAATAAAATACTGAGTTCGTCATACATAATGCAATGTGATTTTTACTGTTCGAAATCTAGTGGCTAACTGAATAAATATAAAACGGGGCTTACAACTATGAGCATCAATATATTTTATGTCTCAAATGAACGTTTTA